CGGTTAGGGAACTTATTTATTCTAACAAAAACAAATATACATATATGACCAAGACGCGGAACTATAACAACAATAACAGCGAGAGATAAAGAGTTATCTAACAAATAAAGAAGTGATAGAAAATTGACTGATGAAAAATATAAATAATCAATAATAACAGGAATAGCAATGCGTATTTAATTGAAAATAAGACGTAAAGCGTAATTTTTAATGATTCCGCATGTGTAATTTCAAGCCGCATTTAGTCTGAAAATCTTTACTGCATGCAGTACAGTGGTAAACAGGTCTATTCATGTCATGAGTTACCATGTGAGACTGCAAAATGTATCTTCGAGTGTAACATTTTCCGCATATCGGACAACTGTATGGCTTTTCACCTGTATGAATCATCATATGTTTTTTCATATCTCCGAACTGAGTGAAATTCTTTTTGCATATTGAACAACTGTACGGTTTCTCACCGGTATGAATCATCACATGCCTTTTCATATTGCCGGACTCAGTGAAGTTCTTTTTGCATGTCGGACAACTGTACGGCTTTTCACCGGTATGAGTCATCATGTGTTGCTTCATATTATCGGAGTTAGTGAAATTCTTTTTGCATATTGAACAACTGTACGGCTTCTCACCGGTATGAGTCATCACATGTTTTTTCATATCCCGAACTGAGTGAAATTCTTTTTGCATATTGAACAACTGTACGGCTTCTCACCGGTATGAGTCATCATATGTCTTTTCATATTACTGAACTGAGTGAAATTCTTTTTGCATATTGAACAACTGTACGCTTTCTCACCGGTATGAGTCATCATATGTTTTTTCATATTACTGAATGAGTAGAATTCTTTTGCACATTGGACAACTGCACGGCTTTCACCGTATGAGTCATCATGATTTTTTCATATTACTGAACTGAGTAAAGTTCTTTTTGCATGTCGGACAACTGTACGGCTTCTCATCGGTATGAGTCATCGTATGTTCTTGCTTTTGGTGTACATCGTGGCGTTGCTTCTTTTTCGTTCTACTTTCCTGCTTTGACATTTCCATTACTTTCATGACTGTTTCGATTGGAATTCGTTCATCACTGACTTTTGAAGCGGTTGAATACAATGTTTTTGTTTGAAGCAATTGCAGTCCAATTTCTTCTTCACACTTTCTTTCCATTGATAAGCCTTGTAATGCATTGCCTTTCTCTTTCACTTTTGATATTGATAAATCCAATGGTTCTGTTTGATCCGTTTGCGCTACCTCAAATGATATGCAATTATCAATCTCATACCGGGTAAAAATTTAAATCTCCATGGTATCGCAACGCTATGTTCTATTTTTTAAACTTTAAATGGGCTTACGGTTGTTTGAATATTGTTCAGTTGCAAAAAGAAGAAGAAGAAATAGATGAAATGCATGCCAACTGCCACGAGAATAATTTGTTGCCAATTCTGGAAAACATTCAAATTTACTAGGCAATTGCTCATTGACAAATGCCGAAGGAAAAATTTGCCCAAATAAATGCTTTTCTAGATTATCATCGAGTCCCAAAATTCTAAATCAGAGCTCTGAAAAGAGAACAAAATAAATGAAAGAAATTTGTGGAAGAGAGTTTGACAGAGGCCTTCTGTTACTTCTGTTAGATATTGTTAAATAATCGCATGTATAAATGCTCATTCAGATGGAGGTGGCAACTATGTATATTGATAACTTACTTCCGCGTGCAACAAACAATATGGGGCTAATAGTAATTGGAATATAAAATATTACGTATAATGATATGATAATAGCAATCAGTGTTTGATCCTTTACACTGAATAATTTCATTTCAGTTGCTATATTATACTGTTGAAAATAATTTATGTATAGCAATTGTGACATTTTTTGCAATATTATTTCCTTTTGTTTCAATTTTTCCACATTTTCCCAGTCTTTGGGAATATTAACGAGAGGGAAAACTACGTTGCTGCAACTCTTGTAATTGATAATATTGATTTATGAATGTTAAATTTTTCATCAAATATTTCGTTTGGATTTCATTTTTAAAGTTTATTTTCAAATTTGCTTTGTGTTATCTGTGTAAATTAAGCATATTAAAATTTTTACAGTCATCGTATATAACACCATATGATGACGATAGCTTCAAATCAAATGATTACATTTGATGATTTCTAATACTCATTAACCCTTCAAATTCCAAGCATAATAAAACTAAAAAAAGGCGGTAAAGTCCTACCAGTTAGGAACAACGTTGGTTCCGTCCAATAACAGTTGGCTGTCGTGGAAGATTTATAAATTCAATTATTTTTAGAGAGGCTGCTGATCTCGAAGAGATTTGTTGGATTTAAATGTTTGGGGTAACAAAAAAATATAATAATTCCTTTATTAGCAGAAGCAGTTAGCACAGTAACTTGATAGAGAAGAACTGAAGTTGAATTCTCCTGATTCTTGGTAAAATTACTAGGCACTTTCCCGTAGGGAAGTGTTCATAGTAATTTAATATCGTGAGACTCTAAAATATTATATGAGTAAGTAATATGTTCTATGAAATCTTGCAAATAAAGCTTATAACTCTTTTTGTTTTCAACCCTATGTTTAGTCTTAAATCTTTTACATATTGTTTACACAGTATCTGCTCATTTAGTTGATCTCATTATTGTGTCGCCACTAATTGTGAATTATCCTTGAATCTACGAAGTTAACAACCTTTGCTTAATAATATCCTTTGCGGTTTGTCAACTAGTAATTAAATTTGCTTGTAAACTAATCAGTTTTTTTTTTTTTTTTTTTTTTTTTTTTTTGTTACTGTCTAATCAAGCTTTTTGTTAGACTGGTTACTCTTTCTTATTGTAAATCATATACTTTTTTACGCATATTGCTTGCTATATAAGAAGACTGAAAACTGAAAACATTTTTGCATGTTAATTAAACACTAGAATGGACCTTTCAGAAAATATAAATGTTTGAAGCATCTTGAACTAGAAAGAACTGAATTTCATGCACCTGTAAAGAAAGCAAACTTTTATAAATTTCAAATACATATCGCCTACAATATGATGTTATTCAGGACGAAGCTACAGCAGTATAGAGCCTCATGCTAATAAAGCAGTTTACCATGTAACTGTTTCCTTCATGAATCACACCTTTTCAATTTATTTCCAAGCCATCAATAATAGTAAAGGCTATTGTAATTATATTCCTTTTCTTGGCTTGTGGCATCAAATTTGTCGTAGAAGATTTGTAAATTTAATTATTTTGGGAGAAGTTGCTAGTCTGGATGTAAGTGTAAATATTTAAATTTTGGCTTGAATTGTTTGTTGTTCTTCTATAAGAAAAATTCTGTTACTCTTATTGATTACATATTTTTTTCCTAAGCCTATGTCACTAATTAAGTTCATTAATGTATAATTGCTAAGTAAATTAGCAATATCATGGCTGGGTTAATTCACTGCAAAATTATGAACACAGACTTTTGTTCATAAAATTCCTTCACATGAGTAAAAAAGTATGATGGCTGCTATATTTACTATTTATTTGTATCTTTTGTTATTTCTGCCATGATTTCAAGCGTGTGTTCACATGAACGCCCGTTATATTACTTTCATTGTTTGTTTTCTTTCTCATTTTGTACTTGTTTTATGTATGGTTACTTAATTTTCTGAATGTTTTTTATAGTGAAATAAAGCAAGCGAGACGCTTCGTTTATACAAGATCTGTGAGATGATACTTGATTAGTTCATTTTTCAGAAAGAATGTACTGTATGTAAACTGAGTTAAAGTGATGCTACTATATTATTAAAGTTTGCCAATTATATCATGCATGTTGGGCGCTATTTTAAGGAGATTTTGATTGATCTTAACAAGAAAAATGACATGAAAAATGATAAAAATTTATATGACCAAGATTAACGCAACTATAACAACAATAATAGTGAGAGAGAATTATTTAACAAATAAAGA